TATATATATATATATATTATAAGATTTTAATAATAAAAATATACTTTGTCGGCTATTATTTGAAGGCGATTATAATGTATAGATTTTCCAGGCACTAATGTTGTATTTGAACAGCTGCCCTCTACCCATGAAAGACAGCTCAATAATGACATGTGATGAAATGGAATTTTTATACTCATAATTAAGAGTTTAGTATATAAATTATAATGTCTTATATATCGTGTAATTTAGACAATAATTATATGTCGCAGTAGGTAATTAGTTGGAGTGGATTATATAAACTAACCGTAAAATGTGGCTTTATTTTTTGGTTTTTTATTTTTGAGCCTTGTTGGCATATTTGGAGCCTTTTATTTAAGGCTTTGTTGGCCAAATAAATGGCCTTGTATTTTGAGAGGATGTGGCCAATTGTTGACCAAACATTTCTTTCTTCTCTTCCTATATAATGATGACTCTCTACTCATTTGGAAACACACCAACAAGACTTGAGTCTTCATTTCTTGTTTTTTTCTTTATTAAGAGTATTTTGTATGAGAGTTAGTGTTGAGAAGCACTTGTGTAAACCCTTTCTTTGGAGTGATCTTATGAGGTTATTCTCTCAGGGTATTTGGGATTAATTAGAGTGTTTACTCTAATTTTGTACTCTTATTGTTATAGTAAATTGTTCCTCTCCGCTTGTGGACGTAGGTCACTTTGACCGAACCACGTTAAATTTGTGTCTTCTTTATCTACTTTAATTGTCGTTGTTATCAACTTTCATTGTCTTTGTTATTGCCATTATATAATTATTTGGCTAAATTCCGCACCACCCGGGTTCCCGATCCTAACAAATTGGTATCACAGTCGGATCTAACCGGGTTGGTTTTAATAGCCAAAATGACTATAACAAAGACCTATGTTGAGAAATTTGATCGAAGTGCAAACTTCGAAATGTGGCAATTAAAGATGGAAGCTATCCTAATTTAGGATGGCTTAGACTTGGCGTTACAAGGAAAGGAGAAGAAGCCGGATAAAATAACGGATGAGGAGTTTGTAGTCATAGACAAAAGGGCAAAAGCAGGTATCATTTTAAATCTCTTAAATGAGGTTTTACGTGAAGTTTCTGTAGAAACCACAATCAAAGGCATGTGGGAAAAATTGAAAACCTTATATATGAAGAGGACGGTGGAAAATAGACTTTACCTGAAGCAGAAGCTTTATACAATTCGTATGGGTGAAGGTACCTCTATTCTCTCTCATCTTGACACATTTGATTCCATTCTTATGGATTTGAATAATATAGATGCTGAAATTAAAGATGAGGATCAAGCCGTGTTACTGCTTTGTTCTCTACCCCCATCTTTTAAGCATATAAGAGATACTATGCTTTATGCAAAGGATAATATCTCTTATAAGGATATTAAATCTATCTTAAAATCAAAAGAACAGATAGATAGTGATATTACTGGGGAAGCTAGTGGAACTCAAGCGGAAGTTGGCTTATTTGTTAGGGGCAAATCCGACTCCGTATCCAGATACAATAATTTACAGTGCCGCTAATGTCATAAGAAATGTCACAATATCTCTGAATGCTATAAACTGAAAAATAAAGAAAAGCATAAAGAAAGAAAAAATAAGCACAAAAATACTGACACCGCCGAAGCTAGTGTAGCAACTGATGAGATTGAAAGAACTATATTTTTAGCAACTGAAACTAGTTTCAGATTAGACAATGAATGAATTTTATATTCTAGTTGTTCATATCATATGTGTCCTAACAGGGACTTGTTTTCTACATATGATTCAGTTGCAGGTGGAGTTGTCCAACTGGGTAACAATGTTACTTGCAACGTTATTGCCAAAGGTACAATTCGGTTCAGAATGCACGATGATGTGGTGAGAACTCTCACTGATGTTAGATATGTTCCTGAGTTGAAGAAAAATCTCATATCTTTGGGCACTTTAGAATACCTAGGGTGCAAATTCACTAGTGAAGGTGGAGTTTTAAAAGATTTTCAAGATGCTTTTGTGATCATGAAAGCACACAGATCTGGTTCGTTGTATACTTTATTGGACTCCACTGTTATAGACCCTACTGCAGTTTCAATATCAGACAACTTGTCTGATTTTGATGGCATTAAATTTTGACATATGCCCGTTGGGGCTTTTG